TTTCTTGCATACTTGTTTAGAAATATTAGTTGTGTAAAGTGTAAGACTGCTTGTGAATTGGTTTGAAAGTTGAATTTATCTCTTTTTCTGTGATTTAAGAGGATGCACTCCTCACTCTCTCTCCTTGTGAATGTAGATAAAAGATATTTTGATTGATTTGGGTTGTGAAAGGAGAAACATGTTCTGGTAACCAGTTGAAATGTTTATTGTTTTTTTGTTTTCTTTTGGTATCCATTTCAACAAACAAAGTTCTGCTGGAAGTAAGTTGGCATTCGATGTTAAGAGATGTTTATATATGACCATAGCTTTTAAGTGCAATATTTATTTAACCTTTTCTTGCTTTTTTTTTTTTAATATCTAAGGCTTTTGTATTTTGAATGGACATGTCTTACTCAGGTAAATAGACAAATCTCTTATGTCCTTCTCTCTTAAGTTTATTTTTAATTTCAGGAAAAAACTGGGGGAAAAATAATTCATAGAGTTGGTGGTGTTGTTTATCTTTTCCGGGGTCGAAACTACAACTATCGAACTCGTCCACAGTACCCAGTGATGCTTTGGAAACCAGCTACTCCAGTCTATCCAAAACTTATCCAAGAAGCTCCAGAAGGATTGACTAAAGTTGAAGCAGATCAGCTGCGGAAGAAAGGGAAATCTCTTCTTCCCATATGTAAACTAGGTAAATCAACCATTACTTATTCATGGGTAGCATTGCTTGAGTGTTTTCATTACTTGATTTTTGGAGAGATTTTACTAATATGCAGTTGCCTGTTTCAGAAGTACTAATTATCTTTGTTCATGTTGCAGCAAAAAATGGTGTGTATGCTTCCCTAGTCAAAGATGTTAGAGATGCTTTTGAAGGAAGTCCTTTGGTGAAGATCGACTGCAAAGGGATGCATGCAAGTGACTACAAGAAGATAGGTGCTAAGCTCAAGGTTTGTAACATTCCTTTGCTACTGCTGGGGCTTTATAATTTATATTGATTTTAATGCCTATCTTGGTTTCAAATTGTTGGGGACTTGATCAAATTCATTAACCAAAAACCAAGGCAATACCAAAATTTGAAGAATGACTAGTCTGGCACTGCTAGTTTAACATCGGTTTCATGCAAAAGTGTCCCATAGCAAGGATCTTAAGTTGGTTCCTAGGAGGTTTGAGCTTGTGATAAAAGACTATATCTAATAATAATGCTAGCGGAGGGACTTATAAAATAAAAATATAGATTTATATTTAGTACTTGTTTGAAATTTTTTTTAAAGCTAAAATAGTAAAAAAAATTAAACCCTTATCAATCTATTGTAACAAATTGAGCCCTTAAAGTATTATTTTTGTTCAATTGAGTCCTTATTTGGATGGAAATTGTTAAAATTAGTTATCTTTGCCATGCCCAACATCTACATGGCATGTATGTGGCAAAAAAATGCACTGTAGGTGTTGATATGGCATGCTATGTTGGCGAATGCTATTTGCCATGAAAGTGCCACCGCAGCATGAATTTTCATATTTTGCAATATGTCACTGATTTGGCGAAGATGATGACCAAATAGATGCTAATGTGGTGGAAAATACCTAATTTTAGTAGTTTTCACCTTTAATTAAGCAAAAATAATACTTTAGGCACTCAGTTGTGTACGATAGAAGGATAGAGGCTTATATAGGAAATATGGGAAAGTACAAGGGCTTTCTTAGTATTTTAGCTAATATTCGAACTTACTTATGTTCTTTATTCAAGTCTAGTATTAAAAGTTGAATTTCTTGTTTGTCATGGGCTCTTTCCATGCTTATTATTAAGATATCATCTTTGAAGGCGATTTGTATTGGTTTCTGAATTGGTCAAGAATGCAGGTTGGAGCTAGATATAAAATTTTGTGGTTTCTTTATCAACTTGCCTGAATAAGGAACTACTTGATATAGTTTTCAATTGGTATAGATCCAGAGATTCATTAGAAACTTGAGGGATGGGCTCTCTCACAATGCTCAGTTTCCCCACACTTTTCCTCCCTTGCAGAATAGTTTAATGTCTGATTTCAGTGATGAATAAATTTCTTCTTGTAATGTCTTGATTGACTCTTCTGAGGGGATTCCTTAAGTGATGCAATTTAGTTTATTTTACATATCTTTTGTTTTAAGGCAGAAAGCCTTTGAACTGAAAGTTTGCTTAAAAGGTTTGAGATTCAAGGCACTAAGGACTTGAGATTTATTTTCTATTGGTTGAGTTTTACTGATTATATGCGCCTATGAGCCAAGCTACTGTTAGTGAAGCCGTCCAAGAGTCTTTAGATCAGGTGACACCAATTTTCAGAGCCTTCAAAACAGATGTTTCCCTTGCATCTGGTGCTTACTTGAACACAAAATGTACTGACAAGATAGGAATCCAGAATAATATCTGTTAAAATATGTTTTGTTGGTCATTCTACTAGTTCTCTATGAGTTGCTTTAATAATTGTCTAGTCTCTTGTCCTCTAACCTTTCTTCTCTTATTTTTCAGGAATTGGTTCCTTGTGTTCTATTATCTTTGATGATGAACAAATTTTGATGTGGAGGGGACAGGATTGGAAAATCCATGTACGGGGAAGCTCCACCAGCTTTACTTCCTGCTAAAGCTGACATTTCAAGTGGTGTAAGATGATTCAGGTATGGCATTAGCAAGAGAGTAATAGGGTACATTTTATTGTTTTTCTTTCAAAAGCATAATTGAGGCTGCACAGTGTGGTAATCAAAACTTTCAATGTTGGGTCCAATAATTGTCATACAATCTAATGGAATTTTGTGATTGGTGGCTTCTATACAATGCTGAGGTGACATGGTAAGTTTACATGTAGTGCCTATCACAACAGTGTCATTGGAACGGTAAAATCTACAGTTTGTAAGGAGAATTACAATGCTTCTGGCAAAAAAAAAAAAAAAATCGCAATGCCCATCATTTCAAGCTGTTTTATAATTTATGTATTTCCAAGAAATTCAAGGAAGTTTCTGTTGGCCATTAGGAGCTAGGGAGGCATAACTCTAGTGGCATTAAAGTTAAGTAGAAAGTTAATTTGGACAAGACCAGGCAGCTTGTTTGTAATGTGGGTAAAAGCTGAAAAGTACAAGTGTACGATCCAGTATTTAGGAAAAGCTGCAATGGTCCATATTAGATGTGGCAAGAGCAGCAGTTTCCTAGCAAGTGGATTCTCTACTGTCCTTGCTAATGCTGACAATTTAATTTCTTTTCCCTTTTTTTCCCTTAATTATCTTCTTTTCAAAATTTTGAGAATTGATGTAGATATAGTTATGTTTTACCATGTGGAGAAGATTGATAATAGTATTGCATTGACTATGGCGGTTGCATTTTGTGGCCACCTCCTTTATTAGGTTTCCTTGATAACTTGCTTTATTGTTATGTTACATGGTGTGTTGCATCTTTGAATTTTTATTTTTTTGAACAATGCGTTTTTGGAATTTTAATGAGGTTTGTTTGATGTATTGCAGCCAAGTCTTCTGATGGTAGTAGTACACCCTGATGCCAAAAAGGTTATATCTAGCCCAAAAATGATGTCCCTCTGGAAAGCGTGCAATCGAGTCAAACAAGGCATTGTTGTTGGATGAGATTGCTCTTGGGCCCGATTGCTCTTATGGAGAAGGTGGAGGAATTTGAAGGCATGTCTCTGGCCACAGAGCATTCCTGTGAAGCAGTAGTCTTGTCCAGCGAAGATGGTTCTGGTAGTTCCATGGCAGAGTTGGAAGATGGTTCGTCCAATTTAGGGGGTGAAAATGATAATTATAGGCGATGATGACATCATTAATGATGAAGATTATGATGTTGACTCATTCGAGGAGGTGGATTCGTCTATCCCGCTGGGGTCATTACTGTTGACAGGATAGCAAGAAAGGCTCCGAAGGGATTCCAAATGAAGGACAAGGGAAAGATCATTACACTATTGTTAAGCTCATTATGCTGAGCTCCAATTTCTGTAGTTATCTATTGAATTTGTTTTCACCATCAAAAAGCTGGGTAAATGGGATGTATGATTATACTGTCTCTAAATAGCAATGGAAATGTCTGTGTCATCTTCTTCATCTGCTCTCAGCTTTTCCTATTGTACAGTGTAGATTTAAATGTATATATATGTGCAACTGGGTCCTTCAATTTCAAATGAATCGTATTTATTGCCTGAAGCATATATATATATATTATATGTCGAAAACTAAATATTTAATTTTATCATGTTTTTCCACATGAGAAAAATGTTGGCTTCTCTTTATCACTATTTTTTATTTTTTTTCTTAAACATAGAGGGTAAGTCATTTTAGATTGGACAATGAAATAAAAATAAAAATTGATATGATTTAAAAATTGATAAATTTAATAAAATAAAAATATATTTATATTTGATATATTAAATATTATGATATAATAATTTTATATTATATATATTTAATATAAAATAGACATAATATAAATATACAAATTATTATATACTTATATATATATTTTAATTTTAAAAGAGACAACCTTACAATAGGAGGAAGAAAGTTGGGATTAAACGTCTCTTCTTAAAGCTTGCCGGTCATCAAACCAAGCAGCTGAAAACATATATAACTTATATTGGACTTTTATGTACGATCCCCTCTACTAAATACTAATAATAGTTCTGTTGGAAGAAGTAAAATTTTCTACGTATTGCTCTGGTGGTTGGGAGTTGGCTAGTAGGGTAACGTGTCAGGTTTTTAGTGATCTTTGTAGTGGACAAGAAGTCCAGCTGTTCACTTTTTGTCCTCAATTTCCCTAACCAAAACTTGATTGGCTTTTTCCTTCTAGAAATTACCTCATTTCCCCCAATCCCTCCAACCAAATCCATGCCATTATCTTTTCTAAATAAATAAAAAAAAGCATTTAAAAATACATCCAACGAACTAATAAACAAAAGGCATAGGCCATCCTCTAAAAATTGAAGAAATCAGAGCCAAGGACAATAAGCTTCCTGCCCTCTACCTCAAGACAAGGTAAACTACGAACAAAGAAGAAGCAAAGCATATTCCATTTTCAACGTGGAGTCAGCTGTTCAATAAAATCCTCACCATTCTTATTCGTTGACAGTAAGCTCCTTAAAACCCATCTTTCTTTATCATAATATCGACCCTTCTCTCTTCCATTGTTAATGTGATCATACCTTTATGGGAACAACCCATCTAAAGTAAGGAATCTCTGTTTTCTTTTTTCATTCTAAATTTATGTTTAGTCATGTTGTTTATTTTTCTAGTATTCCTTCCTCTGCGTTTGCTTCCCTCCGTTCCCTTCAAAATTCTGTAACATTAGCCTGAATTTTGATCATATATAATATATATGTGACTGACTTTGAGGATTCCGGTTCCAAATTTTCTATTTTTGTTTTCCGTTTATGATTAAATGGAAGAAGTGTTCTAGCAATCAAATAGTATACCCATTTTTTTTTTCAAAGAAAAAGAGTTTCTTTGTTTTTTTTTTCTTCTCATAAAGATTATTCTTTTGGCAGCGGAAGATTATTACTTTTCTTTCTGCTGTTTGATTTTCAATTTTTATTTGATTTAAGAGTAACTCTTTTTGAATTATTTGGGTAGAGACACATTCATTGGTCGTCCAACTCCAAACATTGTGCATAGGAATATTAATAAAGAAATTATGATAACCAGTGGAGCGAGTAAGGAGTAATTTCTTGAGTTTCTTAGCAAGGATCCACAACACATACTTGGCAGCCCGTCATGACTGCCGATACTGCCACCATAAGTTACTGGTTCAACTGGAGGTTCTCACTCTGTGCGCTATTCATCTTAACCTGTATGGTTTTGGCAGCAATTATAATTTGGAAATTTGAAGGCCGGAAAAAATCAGAACATCAGGAGAGAGAAAATTACAGGGAGACTCCAGGGCTTTTATATGAGGATGAAGCTTGGAATACATGTCTCAAAAGCATTCACCCTGCTTGGCTGCTTAGTTTTAGAGTGTTTGCTTTCTTCATGCTTTTGGCATTGCTTATGGCCAATGTTGTGATTGATGGAGGTGGCATATTTTACTTTTATACTCAGTGAGTGATATATCTCTACAGCTTTCCTATTCTTTTACTTCATACATACATATATTGCAATAGAAGTAAACTTGGTTATATTGGAGATGATCATATTTACTTGAATAATGAATTTTGAGCAGCACTTCTACAACATGATGATGGTGCATTTATAATGTTCCAGCTTTCATATTCTGCATTGATTCTAGTTTTACCATTGTGGATGTGCAGATGACATTTTTCTAAAATGATCCCTCTTAATTAATTTTCTTTCTGGAATAGGTTTTGTTCCAAAAGCCATTGTGGTTTGAGCATGCTTAAAATAGCTAACAGTATAGTGCCCTATATAATCAGTAAGCGTGGATTCAACCTTTGCATAATAATGCTATATTATCTATTTTTGTAAAAACAGTTCTCCTTGTAGAGGTCGAAACAGCTTTTAATTATTTGAACTGTTTGATTGAATTAAGGTTTCAAGTTTCCTAAATATAAGAAAGAGTCAGAGTAAAAATAGTTTAATGTGATTTATAAGTAATCAGGATGCTGTCACTAGACCAGCTTTCCTTTTGATCTTTATTGTTGCTAATGTTTGGTTTGTATTTTGTTATAACATGTTTGTTTTGTTCCTGAACAGGTGGACATTTACTTTGGTCACAATCTACTTTGGGGTATGTTTCTTGTACCATTTTTGTCCTTTCTATTTGTTCTTTGTTCTTTTTGAATTATGGTGCTCCCTCAGTTTCAGATTACTAGGATATCTTTTCCATAGCTTGTTGATATTCTCAATAATAATTGTAGTTTGGATCTGCAATGTCCATATATGGATGTCGAAAACACTGGGGAAAAGTTGCTGGTGATAGGGCTGATTGTGTAAGTTTAGATTCTGAGCAAGGCACCTACATACCCCCCACTCTTGGAGAAACTGCAGATGTATCCCACCAGTCTAAACATTTTGATGCCAATGCAGCACCTTATCATCCTCCCAGAGCAGGTGCATGGAGTTATGCCTTTCAAATTATTTATCAGGTAAGTTTCCTCCTTTAATCAGCTTCCTCATTTGTGCAAAATTCAACTTCTAGATTTTTACTTATCTGAACCCTCGTTTCCCTTTTGTCTTCCACTGGTAGCCATAACTATTGTATTTAATGTGCTTCTGTTTCTTTAGCAAAATCTTGGATTTAACTAGTACAGCATATCTTGAAGAAAGAATGCTCACCAAAATTGCTGGAAGAGAAGGTCTTGTGAACTCTGTTCAAGGGAAGATCAAGTAGTTATTATATAGTGAAGTGAAAGAAGTGTGATCAAAAGCCTAGATGTATAGATTGAGTTATTGTGATGGGCCTAATGATTATGTTTCCCTGGTCGTGGAGAGTTTAAAAATTCTGGGTGAATTGGCTGTATGATTTTTGTGTTTCCTTGAATATTGCTCTTCTGCGATTCTAGTGCTATCTGCTGTGATTATATCCTAATTATTGAGATCACATTTTAACTGCCATTCACCTGATATTTTGTTCTTTTCTTGGTGTCTCCCAATAGATTTGCGCAGGTGCAGTAATGCTCACTGATTCAGTATTTTGGCTTATTCTTTTTCCATTCCTAACATCCGAAGATTTTGGTCTGAATTTTGTAAGTATGAGGCTAGAAACTTTAGTTTCCTGAGATTTTTCTGCTTCTTTTAATTGGAACAGTTGTTGCTGTGCATGTGATGAAGCCCCTTCACTCTATTGGCTGAATTATAACATGTTTCAAAATAAAAGGAGAGATCTTATGTAAGCTTATTGGGTATACAGAGGTAGAGCAAGTTGACAAGGTTTTATCTATCTTATTTTATTTTAAGTTGATAAATAATTTGAAACACAAATTGGCTTAGCAGTCCATTCAATTTTGAAGTTGACCATTGTGCCTAAATATGTGCAACACACTGCAATGTGAACTTGGGAAGGTGATAAAAAGTTTTGTGGCTAGTGCTGTTAACTTCTTTACTTCTCTAATTCATTAATTCTTTCATTCTTCATCTTGTGCATGCATATGCGCATAGTGGGCCAGATAACCTACAATGAAACCACAAAATCTCTTACTGTGACCTTTATTTGTGTTTTCAATATGAGGACTGAACTCCATGAAAGTTTGTTGACTGTCTAGAAGCCTTCCGAGAGTGTAACTTCTAAATTTTGTCAAAATATTTGGTTACATGTCATTAGATTCCTGCACTTATAAGCAAATATCATCACATGACATGTAGTAAATGTACATTTTGAAAGTGTCTCAATCTGTTGGTTTTACTGTTAAGTAACTTGGGTTATAAAAGATGGAAAGTCTTTGCTGTGTTTTCACCTGCTGCTGTTTAGCTTTTCAAGTAAGAAGAGTGGAATTGCTCTTCTGTTATTTATATGACATCTTTTATCCGGGATTTATGTCCACACTTTCAACTGCAGCTGATTGTCTCTCTGCACTCAGTCAATGCTGTTTTCCTCTTTGGTGACACAATTTTGAATTGCATGGTAAGTATTCCTTTTTTTAAAAAAAAAAAAAATAGCCCCAGTGGTATTTCATTTCCATTTTCCAGTATATTCTGATCAATTGAAAAGCTAATTCTACCTTTTCCTTGCAGCGGTTCCCTTTGTTTCGAATTGCGTATTTTGTTTTATGGACGGGCACATTTGTTGTTTTCCAATGGATCATTCATGCTTGTGTTAACCTTTGGTAAAGTTATATTTTAATTTTACAGTTTTATTTACTAGTTCAAATATTTTATTTTACTCTTTTTCCTCTCTCTCTTTGTGAAAGGCTAAACTAATATTTTGGCACCTATCTCTTTGCAGGTGGCCATATCCATTTCTTGACTTGTCATCTTCATATGCTCCCTTATGGTACATATTTGAACTTTTATTAAATATGATTTCGGTTATATTTTGGTACAAAGCATACATACATTTAGAGCTTTTTTCTTTTATGTATTTAAATCCTAAGAAACCAATTGAAGTGGAAATTCTTTGATTGGCTGAATTTTACTTACATTTAGAAATTGGGGTTCTTGATATTGCAGAAAGATTTGTTAGGCATCAGTTTGTTTCTAAAATTGTTATGCTCTTAGGAGTCATGGTTCCAGTGACAATTTGGGTGCCAACCCTCCCATCACACTGGCCTGAGCTCCCAAACGGGGCATTACTGAAAGGCTTCATTTGAGGGGGATGTAGCTTTTGTCATCCTAAAAGTTATTGCAGTTACCAATTTGTTGCTAAAATATGTCTGTAGAGAAGTAGTGACCTTATCCTAAAGAAATGCAACGTTTAGTTCCTTGTGCTGTTTATATCTGTCGAGGGTGTTGGAAAGATGGCAACGCCTGTATGTTTATTTGTTTTGCTATTAAATGTAGGCAACTTGTGGTGATTGTCTCAGTACTGAAGTTAACTCACTAGTTCCTGCCAACGTGCTCACCATCTCTGTTTCCATCTTGGACTAAAACAGGTACTTGGGAGTAGGACTGATGCACATCCCATGCTATGGCTTCTTTGCTTTAATTATTAAAATCAAGGACTTTTCTTTGTCAAGGTCATTCCCCGAGTCGTTTCGGAAAAGGGTGTAAAAAGAAGAGATTGTTGATGTTGAAATTGAAGGTAATGCAAGATATAGGGAGATCTCGGATTCATGGTGGGTGGTTATATCAATATGTGATTGAGTTTGTATGGCAACTATTGTCGACATTGTAAATGCAGAAGATTTTTAATTCAAATATCCAAGGTTGTACGACTTGCATACTATACATAGAAACTTCGTTGCCAAAACACAAAATAAGCTTATCTACTTTTTTAAATATATCATGAGTCTCGATTTTTTTTTTGTTACCATTAATTGAATCTTTAATCTCATATTTATAATCAATAGTCTTGTTTGGTTAAAAAATTTTATCATCATTAAATTCCTTTGTCAACTAGGTTAGAATTTTCGTGTCGCATATGAAATTAATAGTCACGTGGCATTTTTTTGGACATGTATCATAAAAGGTCGCCATTTTCGACACATGTAATAATTTTTTATAAAATTTTAACACGTCTAAAACAATGTCACGGGGTAATATTTGTTCCACGTCATTCAGCTTGTCGTTGACAATTATATTTCAGTTGGTTGAAGGAGTTAATAGTGTTAAAGTAATTTTCAACCTAATGAGGTCTTAATTGATTATAAATAAATTATTAGAGGGTTAACTGAATATAATAAATAAAAAAGACATACAGTGGCAGATTCACTCTTTGGACTAGATTATTCATAAACATTTAAAAAATAAAAAATTTGAAACAAAAACTTTCTTTTAAACACTTATAAAAACTTTAAACACTTTTCGTTGATAAAATTAATTAAATTTGTGAATAATCTTATATATATATTATAAATAAATACTTTTAAAAAATTTTAAATCCGTCGTTGAAAACATATAATAAATTTAATGAAGTATAAAGATTTATTATATTTTACCCCAATTTGTACATGCTAATAGATAAACTATATGGTAGGGGTAGAGTTTTCAGTCAGATTACTTAATTAGGTTTACTCAAAAAGATAATAATGGCTTAATAAGACCTCAGGCTTGTATTGTTTACGCGGTTCTGTCCGCTCTTTTAAAAAAAACGTCAACTCTCCAAACTCACAGATATAGTCCGTTGATGGCACAAATGAAATAAAAATGGGCACTAGACTGGACTGGACTGCGGTGAGCATGAAAATGAACAAAGGTCAATACTGTCTGCCCATGAACCACCCCCCCCCCCCCCCCCACAAAAAAAAAAAAGAAAGAAAATAATCTGAAGTGAACACTACCAAATACTACCAATTAGGCAATTGTCAAAGTAGAGACCTAAAATTAAGTATCCCATACTTCACGGAGTTTGCAGTGCATGTGACAAAACACGCGAGCACTTGTGACTTGTCAGATAGTGATACCTAAGCAAAAGCCTCATTTTCGAATCATGATTAATATTGATTTCCCCAAATATGGAAAATGTTTTTATTTATTTTATGGCTCTGGGGACATCAGGGAATTTCTTTTTCTATGGAAAGTATGGAATTTGATTCTGTTTCCTTTGGCAAATACTAGTTTGCAAAGCAACTTGCAAAACCAAGTCAACTAGAGAGATTGAGAGAGGAGCTGTACAGTGTTGACCGGAGGATTTTAGCTCCATCGTATTAATTCATGTGTCAAAACAATACTACTCTATCTTCAATTCTTTATTCTTGACCGAGGGTTGATGAGTTTTCAAATTCATTCTCTTGGGAAAAAAAAAGTCAATTTAACTGTTTTCAATCATCATTTTTGGTTTTGTTGTCCATCTCAAAACATCAAATACAAAATGAGTTGTTTTGGCTAGTTTTCATTTCTCTAAATGATGTTGCTTGTTAAAATTTAGCATCTAATGTAATTGTTGATGGTATTTGGATGTCTTAGTTGGAAGGAGCTGGTGAGAGTTTGAAGGTGAGGTGGACTGAACCTATACGGTCAAAGAGCATTGAAGTTTGTTATCCGAGACGCACTTTGATGCTTCAGTTAGAAAGGTATTTAGGGTTAAGAGAGAAAAAAGGTGAGATTTGTGAAGGAAGCTACAATGAAGGAAAAATACTTAAGTCTTAAGTCCTATGTACTTGTACCTAAACTTCCTTTTTAAGATGAATGGTGGTGATTTAATTAAGATAATTAACAGTTTTTGATTGAAAGTAAGTCTACGTGAAATTTGAGGAGTGTTTATGTAAATGATTGCGAACTGCATTTAATGATCTCAAACAAACGTGAGCTACATTTAATAGTCTTAGACAAATTAGAAATTAAATATTCAGTTTTAAAATGATGTCTTGATAAAATGTTAGTGGATATGTTGGGTGAGTCTTTCTTTCACGATGGGCAAGCCAATTCTTCAAGCAAGGTGACGTGGTAGTTGGACATGTGCTAGTTAGGCGGACAAAAAGTTGCAAATGAACGTTGCCCTTGGGTTTGAAAGAGGGTTATAAAGTGACCATCCTTAGACCCATTAACCAATCATCTAGGGAAATGTGTTTGGCAGGGAGGCAACGTTGCCTTGACGAACTACTTTTGATGATGTGTCTTTCTAAGGCAAGGATTGCATTCTTGACAAACGATGCTGGTTTCGTCTACCTTTGAGGTGTGGAGCACGATCTTGGTGAGCTATGTTAATGATGTGTCCTTGTGAAGTGAAGGGCACACTCTGAGTGAGTTGTGTTGATGATGTATTTTTGTGAGGTAAAAGGGACGTTCTTGCAAGCTGTGTTGATGACGAGTCCTTGTGAGGCAAAAGCGCGCTTTTAACTAGCTGTGTTGATGATGTGTTCTTATGAGGCCGGAGGTATGCTCTTGGCAAGCAGTGATGTTTGTCAAGACACTAGGAACAGTAGATGGGGATTGGGAAAAATTTGAGGAAAAAATTGATGCTCTGTGTTAAGTGCATGTGGATGGAAACGTGGTCTATTGCGGTGGTATGGGGTACATGCTATGTTCTGAATGGTGCGATTATTCGAAATACATGATGCCATGAGGATTGGAGAGTGGTCAGACATAATTAATGTTCTTAAATTTAAAAAATGAACCAATTTTTTAAAGGGAATGAATGTGTTTGTTTTGAAAAAGGGTAACCAAAGGGTCAAGTTTTATGAGGGATTAATTTGGATTGTTTAGGGATTGACTGAAATGATTCGAATTGATACCTTTTCAGAAGATATCATTTAAATGCTTGAAATGGACCTAATTGGCATCATTTCACTTGTGGTGTTTGGTTGAATATAAATAAAACACTTAGGAATTTTCAAACTCATTTCTACTACTTGCTTTTAAAGAAATCTTATTGTGAGTGTCATTGTGTTTGCTTATTATCCTTCGAGTTTTCAGCAAAAAAATTTGTTAGTAAGGGAAATCCTTCACGTTTATTACATTATGTTATCTTTTTGGTCTTTGAGAGAGGAATCGCTTCAAAAAGGACAATCATAATTGATAGCTTTAATGATGAGGAGAGGGTTAGGGCACTGACCACCAACGTTGGCGGCCAGGGTAGGGAAAAGGCTACTTAGGGGGCTAGGGAAAGAGAAAGGGCTTAAGGAAGAGGCAGGGGCCAAACAGGGCACAGTAGTGGAGACTGTGGACACAATATCATGATTAGAGAAGTGGGGACACCCTTAATTGATGTGACCACCCCAACTGCTATCAAAAGGAAGGGAAAAAATGAAGGGCATAAAGGTTGAGGTAAAAAGCTTAAGGACTCGGCTCCAGAGACAT